TGCAAGGCAATCACTTCCTTTCCCCCAAGCATTATATAATCTAGTCTTGTTTTATTTATTTGTGGTTCTTTTCTCTGTCAAACAAATCTCCTTTGCCAATTTCCTTGCTGGTCCTGTCTCTGTGGTGAAATTTTATAAAGTCGGCTGCAAAGTCCTCTTCTTTGTCTTCCTCTCCTCATCTCTAGCCTTGAAGTGTTCCCTTCAGATGCTTTTACATGGCTTTCAGTGACACTTTTATGCCTTCCACCCTGATCTCTCAATTAGATTCTAAACTCCCATATCCTACAGCCTAAGCCAGTGAATCCTTGTATTTCTATCTAAAGCTCCAAGCTTAATTTGGACAAAATAGAACTCTTGGTTTCTTACCTGCAAATATGTTCTTTGTTTTCTTTCCTTTCTTTTTTTGGAAAATGGCACAATTTACTAGTCCAACCATGCAGAAATCATCATTTCTCTCCTGTCCACAAACTTGTCCAGGCCTCCTCTGAAATCCTCCACTTTGTACTCACTTTTCTGAGGCTGCATCTGACTAAACCTCACAGGGTCTGCTTCAGGAGGACACTAATCTCCTTTTCCCTGCCATTTCTCTCCTTCCTTTTCCAATTATTTTAAAGAAAGTAAGTCAGATACCCTTGCTCCCAGTCTTCTTGACTTTTTGCATTGCTTCAATGAAATGCTCAGGGGAAGCAGCAGGACTGAAGAAAGGCTTGTTTGGGCTCACAACTGGGGACTCCAGGCCATCACTGTGGGGAAAGCATGGCGGCTGGAGCCGGAGACAGCTGCCCATCCTGCATCTTCATCAGGATGCGGAGATAGAGGAATGCTGGCATTTTGTCACTTTCAGCTTTTCACGCAGTTTGGAACTCCAGCCCATGAAAAGGTGCAAGCTCCAGCCCATGAAAAGGTGCAAGCTCCCATTCCCGGAGAGTTTTCTGTGGGAAATCCTTCACAGGCACACTCAGAGCTGTGTTTTCACGGTAATTCCAAATCTTAGTCAAGCTGTGAGAAAACTGACCACTTAGACCTTCTGCAAATCCCCCTGCTAATTGCTGTGGCATCAGAAGCTGGGTTCTATCATCTGTATGTTTCTGGCCAGTCTGGTCTCTGCACACTGTCTACTGCTAGTTCCACGCACCAATGCTCACCCACAGCTCCCCTCTGCTTCTTTCTCTTCTTTAAGGAACTAAGTTGGCTCTGCCTTTAATTTTTTTTTCTAACTTAAAACAAAAAAATTTCATATATATAGTTTGATCATATTCTTTATCCTCCGCTAACTCCTTCCGGTTTCTCCCTCACATGCCTATCCACTCAACTTAATGTTCTCTCCCTTTCTCAATTTCTGCAACATATACAAGAAAGAAAATCAAGACAAAAACAAATAAACAAACCTAATAAGTCAAAAAACACAACCCCCCAAAAAAAGTGTACAACAAACACCTGGAGTCTGTTCTTTTGTTGGCATGGGGCCTGCCTTAGAATATGGAGAAAACTGATTTTAACTCTCTCAGAAGGGACCAGCTACAAATAGCTTCTTCGTTAAGGGTGGACTTCACATCACTTTCTCTTCTCTGTGCTAGTCAACCCAGTCTTATATCATTTACTTGTTAATTTGTTTATACAATCTTTAAATTGCTCTTTCTCCATTATAGTATAGCATTCATAGGCCTAATCTGTCCTATTTATACACTCTAATGCAAGAAACTAGGAGGGGCCACCAAATACACTGTCATTTGCGTTCCCCAAACAATTCTAGTAATTTGAAAGTTTATACATTGCAGTAAACTTTGAACTGTGGCTAGAAAAGCAAGCCATAAGGCAGACACAGGCATATACAATCTTGAAGCATTCTTCTGATTTTGATAACAAAGCCTCCTGTTTCACATTCCTATTCTGTTAACATGGTCCGAATTCTAGCATTAGGAAACAAAGTTAGATCATGGCAGGGGCAGAGTAGAGGAGGTGGAGAGAAGATGAAACATGGCTAAGATTTAGTCATAATTATTGATTTCTTCTGCTGACATTTTTAGCAGGAGAGATGTGTGGAGAAGAGGAGAGTAGTCTGGCATGTGCAGAGGGGCATCTAGTTTTAAGGAAGGAAGAATGTGGAAAAGAGTCGGTGGGATGTTATTACTCTTCTCATATTACATTTAGTCTCAAGATGACCTGTAACTATCCAGCAACGAGACAGAAGAAATCAAAGTCATGGCTAAATATATCTCACTGAAAATAACAGCTAATGTCATACTTGGCCATTGAATTTTACATTTTATTTATTTTCTATTTAAAATATTATGTACTTTTTTCTAGTTAACAGGATGTTGACATTTTCCTTGTAACTGTAGAAGGCCACAACCACACTCTCCACCATAGATGGCGCTGCACCGCCAGGTGAGCTAGAAAGCTCACACGTGTTGGTATTTTTCCACTACTCCCGAGGCATTCACCTGGGATTATGGACAATTGACCAATCCAAGAATGACACGTCCGAAGCAGGGTCTGTTTCCTATATAAGGGATGGGTTCCATCTTATCTGGGTCTCCGCCATGTGGCTTATGCTCTAGCTCCCAAGAGACATAAAGCTTTTCTGCAGAAGGATCCTATGTGTCCCGCGTGGTTCTTGCGGGCGAGACGGTAGCGCGGGACAGTAACAAAACTCTGTTTTTCTTTTTCCATTTTTATGTATATAATGCACTGGTTAGTTTAGTGTCAACTACACACAAGCTAGAGTCATCAGATTGAAGAGAACCTCAAATGAGAAAATGTCTCCATAAAATCAGCTATACACAAACTTGGAGGGCATTTTCTTAATTAGTGGTACATGGGGAGAGTCCAGTCCATTGTGAGTGGTACCATCTTTGAGCTAGTAGTTCTGGGTTCTATAAGAAAGAAGTCTTAGCAAGCCAGGGAAAGCAACCAGCAAGCAGTATCCCTCCATGGTCTCTGTATCAGCTCCTGCCTCCAAGTTCCTGACCTGATTGAATTCCTGCCCTGAGTTCCTTTGACAATGAACAGTGATATGCAAGTGTAAGCCAAATAAACCCTTTCCTCCCCAACTTGCTTTCGTCATGTGTTTCATCACATCAATAATAAGCTTAAGACATGTGGTTTGTCTGTGTGTATGCATTCATGGTATACATGTGTATGTGCATGTATATGTGGAGGCTTGAACTATGTGCCAGGAATCACCCTGGATTGCCTTTTCACCTTATTCAGTGAGGCAACATCTTTCACTGAAACCAGTGCTTGCGATTTCAATCTTGCTCGTCAGTTTACCCTGGGGTCCCCTGACTCTGTCTTCTGGGCCCCTTGACATTAACATGGATTATGGGGATTCAAAATCTGGTACTCATGGTTTTGCTGCAAGTGTTTTAACCATGGTGTCATCTTTCCAGCCCATAATTCATTACTTTTTATACTTTGTTTTATAATGGAAAGCAGAATAAATGTTACTGTACTCATGGAGTCTCTCCAGTTTAAAATTTCAGAACTCGTGTCACTTTAGTCTGAAAATACTACTATGGTATTGACCTTAGCAGAATCTGTCTCCTCTTGGCCACCTTGTAATTTCTGAAGACATTCCATTTCATAGCTGTGAAAACTTGTCATTCTAAAGGAGACAGGCTGAGCAAAGATGGTGCTACGCCATGTCTGTGTTCCATATGTCCTCACTATCAGGCTAGCCTTGACCAGCAATGTTTCCCAGCAAGTCTGTTCAACTCCATACCCATCTGGAGATCTGACATCTCATCTTTCTGTGAATATTTTGTTTTTGTTTTGGAAGTTCCTCTGTGTTGCTGAGGGCTGGCCTCCTGAGTAGGTTGGATTTAAGATGTGTACCACTGGACTTGGTTTGGACTTTGCCTTTTGAAATTTTCAGCAGCATTTGGGACAATGGAACATTCTTGATGTTTTGAAATTTCTCCTCAGGCTCCTGAATTTCTTCAGTGTTTTCCTGGTGATTCTTCAAAGTGATACACTGCTCAGTCCTTAATCTTCTAGAAATAAAGAAGGTTGGGATGTAGCTCAGTTTCAACACTGATTGCCTAGCATGTTCAAAGCCCTGCTGTGGTGGTGAATGCCCGCGACCCTTGCACTTCAGAGGTGGAGGAATTCAGTGCCACCCTCAGCTACTTAGTGAATTGAAGCCAGCTTGGGAATTACATGAATTCTCATTTCAAGCAACAATAACACAATACAACAACAACAATAACAACAAAATAACAAACAGTAGCATAAAATAAAGTTTATAAAGCTTAACATCCAAAGCAGAACCTGTGACTTCCATGTGTTAATCATCCAGTGTGTAGGGCCATACAGCCCTGAGATTATTCTTAGTTTCTTTTCCATAGTCCATATCCAATTCACTATTCAGCTCAGTCTTGCCTCCATTGGAAGTAACGGTCCACTTCTCATCAGTTCCAGAAAACAGCACGCTCGTTGTCAGTTGATGTTGATTGAACTAGCTTCTGAAGCTCTCCCCTCAAGTCTGTTCTCTCTACCCTAGACCAAGAGGCTTTTAATACAAAACAGATCTTGATATGGCCACTCTACTGAAAATGTTTTTTTGAGCCTTTCCCTGTACTCAAGTTAGAATACACAAGCTGACAGGTATCCCACAATCCTTCAGGCCATATACAGTCTAAAGGTTAATTGATGTCACTGAATGGATATGGTATATTCATGATTATAAGGCTATCATATCTGTCTTAAAATAGTAAAAGTAAGCAAATACCTACTCTTACATAGTTTCTGGGTTTCTCTAAAACTCCATTTCATTTCCCTTTCTATTTTTGCACAGTGGTGTGGAGACTACAAAAACAAAAACAAAAATAAAAACAATCAACTAATGAGAAGCAAAATACTTGTTGGTAGAACAGTGTTTCTTTCTTTCTTTATGACAGAGCAAAGTTACAAAGGAATATGATTCTGGTGAAGTGTCATTGAGCCACCTCTTTAGAAGGACACCATGCCAGCAAAATAAAAGGCTTATTTTCAGTAATTCATACCTCAAACCCCTGCGGCCTTCCGAGACTTTCCTTTCTATGTTTCCATGTAACGAGAATCTCTGAGACAGATACACTGGTAGCCTTGACGTCGGTGGGGGCAGCAGTGGGTTCTGTAGGAAGAAAGGTGGAAGTGATGAGCCATAGTCCCTAAGTTATCTCTGTCCAGCACTGTCCCAGGGTCTCTGAGCGGCTCGTGTCTTCCTGACTTGGTTTTCAATGATATCTTGTGAAGTTGTGAAAAAGAAAGAGATCAGAATGTGATCTATTTGGTTTTCTAGGTTGAATCAACCGACACTAGAATCTTACCAATAACCAGTGAGAAATTCAGAGTGATGAGGACAGAGGTCTTTATCCTTGAGTCAGGGAGGGCATTTCTCGGAAAAGTCAATGATTTGACTTCAGCTGCCTGGAAGTCCGGTCTACCAACAAAGACTGTCAGCTGGGATTGGCTAGTGTGCTTGTTTATTTATTAATTAATTGATTTTGAGGCTAAGTTATAGAAGCAACGTAGCTGTCCACCCACAAGGGACAGATATTTGTGAATAAAGAATGTTAACTAACTATAACACTAAAAATTCTAGATAAATTATTCCCATTAAGACCAAATCATTAAGTGTGTCATACTTTTTATTTGTTCATTTTGTATTTTGAGCCAGGCTCTTGCTATAAAACTTTGGCTGGTCCAGTGTTCACTGTGCAGAACAGCCTGGCTTTGAACTTGTGATCCTCCTGTCTCACCTTCTGAAGTGCAGGAATCACAAGTGTTTATCACTATTCCTGTCTTTTAGGATGCTTTTCCTACTCCCATACTATAGATGAAAGAACTTGGGATTTGAAGTTGGCAAAATAATTTGTCAAAAGGTGACTAAAGACTGGTAGGGTTGTTTCAGTGCTGTTTGTTAAATGTTTAACTTCAATATAGAAACACATTTAAGAAACATATCATTGTAATACTGTATTTATCTTGTGTAATCAAAAAGAAAGTCTAAATATCATTAGACGTCTTTGCCACAAATCTCCATATCTGTGATAATAGAAGAAGTGTGTTATGTATCCTGATATTTAAAAGGCATTTATTGACATTTATGACAGGAACAGTCAGAGTAGAAAAGTTCTTGAAGGTCTCAGTGTTGCTGCTCAAAACCCCTCTCTATTTGCTTCTAAGCTCAGTGACCCTTCACACCATTTTTTCTAATACACAATATCTGACTGACATACATCAAGAAGTGCATTTTCTTTGACATCACAGGGTATATGAGCAATGAACTATTTCTAGCTTTGACATGGCTGAATCATAAATACTGTCACAAACATATGTTAACTGAAATGGTAGAATAAAGGTCAGAGATTAGGTCCAACAGTTCTGTACAGATTATTATATTTAAAAAATCCTGTGCTATAAAAAATGTAGAGACTTTAGTACTAACTTCAAATTAACCACCCCATTTGCCCCCAGATTCAGGAAGTCATAAAACAAAGACTCAATTGTAAAGAACACCTTTCAAAAGGTATTATGAAGGGCCTGGAATAAGTACAACCATTTTCTGAAATCTTTCCTTAGTTATGAGAAATAGTTGCACATTTATCTAGATGCGTTTGAATATTAATGATTTAAAGATACCAGTCCAGTGCCTAGGGTGGCAATATAAGCATGTAGTCCTAGCAATGTAGAGCTTGAGACTTGAAGATCAAACCTCAAGACTGGGCACACAGTGTTTCCTAGCCAGCTTGTGATATAAGAGAACCACCTCAAAAATAAATAAATTAAATAAATAAATAAATACCTCTACTCAAAAAAACATCTATTCTTTGCTGTTAAATAAATCCACAAAAGACTTTTCCAAACATTCATATTTCTACTTAGCAATAGTTTTCTTTTGATAAGGTCCACATTAAAATTAACTTGCCAGAACTGGAGAGATGGCTTTTTGGTGAAGGGCTTTAGTTTGGTTCCCAGCACCCATATCAGGAGACTCATAATTACCCAGGAAGTCTGACTGCCTTTTCTGGATTTGTTGAAGACTGTTCGCATATGCACAAACCCATACATAGACACATGTACACAGGCAGCCACAGACACAGACAAACACAGAGATACCCATACACAGACAGATAGACAGATAGAGACACAGACAGACAGGCACACACATACATAGACACACACAGACACACACACGAGAAACGCACAGACAGACAGACACAGAGACAGACAGACATGTAGCTAGACAGGTACACATAGAGACAACACACACACACACACACAATGATACACACAGGCACACAGTGAGACAAACACACATATAGACACAGACAGACACAAACATACAGACAACATATACACACATGCAAACACACACACAATTAAAAATAAACTTTAAAAAGCACCCCATATAATGTAATTGAGCAAAATTCATTTAATTTTAACAAGCAGGTTGACATGATTCCTGCACCGTGTCGATTGTAATTGCTTGTTCTGGAAAGCACTAACATCTTTTCTCTTGCCTTTGCTCAGTGCTGTCCTTCATACAACTTTATAGTCTATTTTTAATCTATTCAGTTTTTTTTTTCTTAAAAGAAGAGCTTCTATTTCATCCTAGACTCACGACTAGCAGACTTGTAGTAGAACTTTTAAATTGTTTAACAGGAGTTTAAGTTCTTGATTCTGTAGTTAAAGAAAGAGGATGTTGGTGGATTTGAGGCACATGACACGGAATCTCTCAGATCTGGGTAAGTTTCATTTCAAAGGGAGCCACACTTTGGTTATCATTTGCCATTCTGTCACTGTGCTGCTTCCTTTCAGAATAAACGCATTGCAGACATTCCCCTGCCAAATGCTTTCCATCCGCTTTTATATTACTGAGACAATTACATCTTTGTCAGGGATGATTGTAGGGGGATAAATAATTTCAGAAGCACAAAAATACATGGCTAGGTGGCAGAGTTTCTATCCCTCTTTATCTCTGGAGAGAATTTTTTTCCCCTGTTAGCTTTCAGGAGCATCAGACACATTTAAATGTGTCTCAAATCAAAATTTAAATTTAAAAGCCCTGAAGATTGCAGAGGAACACGAGAGTTGGTTAGGAGCTACTTCTCAAACAAGCACTCAGATTTTCATGGGAGATCTTGAAGGATTTATAATTCAGGTCAGAAGATTCTGATGCATCACGGTTGATTTCCTCAGGGTGTGGCCCACCTGAGTGAGTGTGGACAAGCCGCCTGAAATCAGCTCATCTTCTAGGTCAAAGTAACATCCAAAGGCCACCCATGAGGACCTGAGTTGGCATTTTATCATGGGAAAAAGCACGACCTCAGCCAGGTTCTTTCAACACCCTGTCGTGTACTGTTTATAGTTGAATTGACAAAATCTTTGTCTGCAGATAGAATAACTGACTGTGACTGGGATCTCCTGTCCTGTCAGGAAGGGCACTGCAGCCACATGCGAGAGAGACACCATAGACAGACTATAAGAAAGTTGCTTGGATCACAAGTCAGGAGTACATGGCCAGGGGGATTTGGGGTTCGAGCATAGCAATTTAAGCCTACATGTCAATCTAATATACCCTACAAAATTAAAAAGGTCTATATTTTCTTGGGGAAAGGTTGCTTCATCCAAATTCTCCTTCTGAAAGTGCCCCTCCCCCAATTGGCTCCCCAGGTGGACAGTCTTACAACTTTGTTTACTGTCTTACACATGGCAACAAAGAATCAGCTCTCCATTTCTCCTTGTCTCATATATACGTGTGTAGTGTCTATATTTGTAGGTGTATGAAGGCCTGATTTTGGTATCAGGCATTTGACTCTATCAGTTTTTAAACTTAGTGTTTAAGGCAGAGACTCTCAGTCAACCCCAGGGCTTGCCCTTACAGCCCTCTTGCTCCAAGGATGCTTGACCTGTACCTTCAAGGACTCTAATTACAGGCAAGCAGGAGGTCATAAATACTGACCCACTCAGTATTTATGAGGATTCTGGAGGTTTGAACTCTGGTCCTCTCTCCTGGTCACAAACCCTCGAGCCTTTGAGCCATCTCCCCTGCCCATCACTCTCAATTTTTAAAGAGTCAATTTTTGGGGTAGAGAATGGAATTTAAAGGAATCAAATTTAATTCATTCTTTTCTGTTCAATTGCCTCCAAAGACTGATAAAGGGATGGGAGAATGTGTTTGGGCATGATATATATATATATATATATATATATATATATATATATATATATAATCAGGCTTAAACATAAACCCAATAAACAAAGGAAATAACTCAAGGTAGTCGTAACTGACTTTTGAAGAGAAGGATTACTGTGTTCTAAGACTTGTTAATTCCAGATATGTAGTAAGTCACCCAACAAAACTATTACATATTCCCTAATTACTTTTCATAGAAAGACTATGAAAGCCATCACATGGCTGCTAAATGGTGAAGGGAGGATTTGATTCCAGGCATGAACTCTACTCCCCTGATGTTGTTGGTACACTCGACTGTGCACACATGTGATTAAATGCATGCGTATGTCCTGTGGATGGGTATGGAGCCCAAGTTGACACTGAATGCTGTCCTCTGTTGCTCTCCACCTCAAGTTTTTAATTGCTACCATCACTGTACATGGACATGATGTGTGTGGATGTGTTTTCACATGGACATTAGATTGGTTCTCCCCTCCATCTTCGGACTGGATATCAGACTCAGGTTACCAGGCTTGTTCTGAAAGCACTTTTATCTGCAGAGCAGTATTATAGTCCCATCCATGTTCATTAGAGACAGGGTTTCTTACTGAACCTGAAGTCTCCAATTGGCTAGACTGGCTGGCCGGCAAGCTCCAGGGATCTTCCTGTCGCTTCTTTCCCAGGACTACAATGGCAAGTACATGTCACCATGGCTGGCCTTTTATGTGGGTACTGAGAGTCGTAACTCAACCACTACCCTTGACTTTGCACTCAGGTAGGTTGATTAAAGTTCAGAACCTTATTTGGGCAAATATGTTAGGTTTCGTCTGGTAGACAGAGACTTGAAAATCTCTCCTCCTCTTGCTTAGGGTGTGATATAGGCTGTGGCTAGCTCCCTGACTCCAGTCTGAGCACAGGGAGTGGGCACAGTGATTGATGGATTTCAGTATCAGTTAGATTAAAATTTAGAGCAGAATTACCATGCTCATGAATTTAGATGATACATCTACGTTAAGTGACCCAGCAGCTGGAGTCCTCCTAGTGATTTGGGGGATGTGCTTGTAATATTGATTGTACATCTGACTTCCCAGGAGGGGTGGCGGCAGCACTAATCAAAGGGGAGTCTAATAAACTCTGTGGGAGAAGGGCTATGGTTTCATTAGTTAGAATTCAGTGAAGACAGCTGCTGTTGAACTTCTACAGTCACTAATCCAAATGGATCACACTGCACAGACGGGTGATTATTCCTTATATTCTATAACTAATATGCCAATTTATAAATTTCTGACTTCACATAAATCCCGTTGAGCTCAGTTTCAGCTGAGAGTCGATCTGGATAATACCACCTTGTGAGTGCTGGGCTTTCACTTGAGCACTGACTGCCCTGAATTCAAGGGATAACTGCAAATCAGCTTCTTCGAATGAGGAACAAAGTCTTCAGTTTAATAAAAACAAGAGCCATGCAATTCACCTGAAGAGGCAGAAGTCCCCAACGCTAGAAAAAGCTGCAGAACATTACAAGTAAATAAACCTTCAAATCTGTGATTAGTGGCTATGGAATTTCATCAGTTTTTCTGATGCATGTAATTGAATGCCCTGGCCTCCAAGGGTACTGCACTCAGGTGCACAAACCCACACTCACAAATACCTATATATGCATAGTTTTTTTTTATATGCATAGTTTTAAAAGGTTTTAAATTAAAAATAATAACAACTTACGGCCAAAATCTTAGTAAAACTGACTTTAAAGTGATTTCTTTTCAAGATAAAAATATTAAGTCAACAATTAATGCTCAGTTTTGTATATCTAGAAAAGCTTCATAATTCAACTCTTATCTGTCCACTCTGAGCTTCTCATTACCGTAACTTTAGTTAGGAGGAACCCATCTTATTAAAAGAACCTCACTCACTCCAACACAGAAGTTTCTAGCTAACTGCTGCCAGTGCTGAGAAACAAACTTGGTCCTCTGCAAGAGCAGTATGTGCTCCTAATAGCCGAGCCATCTCTTCAGCCTGCCATTAATTTAAAAGTCCAGGCGGGCCTCCAACTTTCAACCCTGCTGACTTAGCTGTCCACGTATGATGACTGTAGGCATGTCCAACCTCACACAACTTTACTATGCATTTTAATATCAGCTGTATTAACACTTTGCAATTCTTTTAAAAAGCTGGGTTTGGTTTCAAAATAAGATTGTATCATATCCTAAGGATCAAAAGTGGAACCAGGATTAGGGATACATAATTCTTCCTTGTCGCAAAAGTTGGAAGTGTGATTTATCTATGAACTACCTGTGGAAATCCTGGCAGGTAAATTTCTCTTCAGCTCATGTCAGTGGCCACTTGGCACCATTAGAGTCCTTTGCTCCTGCTGCATAAATACTGAAAATTTTCAAAGGCTCAAGGGTGTTAATAAAAGAACCACCTGGGACATTCCTGATTGTACTAGAGAGAAACAGCTAATCTCAGAAATGTGAGTCAATTTAAACCTTAAATAACTTAGATGATACCAATGTAAGTGATCCCTTTTAATAGGCCAAATATGGGCAAAACTTTGCTTTCCATAGTAACAGTAATGCTCACTCACATTCCAGTAGACTTTCTTAAGAGGGGGGAAAAAGATGTGTTTGAGGAATGCGGATGCACACACTTATGAGTGGGTAGTCTTTGCTTTTAATAGTCTCAGTACATAGTCTAGGCTGGCCCTGAATTCATGATTCTCTTGGCCCTGAATTCATGATTCATGAGTCTTGAGTGGTGGCATTAAAACTTTGAAATGGTCACTTCTTTTCAAACAAAGCCATTTGCCAGAATAAAATTTCATTTTGATTACATAGTAAAAGTTGACCTGTTGTTACTCTCTGTTTGGAAAAATTACTTAAAGAATATTTCATAATATGGATTAAGTAGGTGGAGTTTTAGTTTTAGCATTATAAACATTCTAGAACTGTTCTTATTCAAAACCTTCATTGTCAAGTAAGAGAAAGTTAGATCCGAAAAGGAAGACAATCTGCTTCTGATCACCCTGAGTGACTGCATTGCAGTGCGGGTGAATGCAGAGCAGATGAAGGGAGATGGGGTCTTCAACCCTGCCCTGCTTTTTAACAGATGGTGTTCAATGGCGCAAACCCTTAAGCTAATGAAAGTTTCAACTTTAGTGATAAAGTTCCACATATGTATATGTAGATCTTGCAGTCAGAACAAAGGCAGGTTGGGCATACTGCGGAACTGCTATCTTCCATATTTTCATGGACAAATGAAGTGTCACAATGAAATAGGTTGTAGCAACAACCCCCAGTGTCTTTGAAAGGAAACATGCATGTTTCCTGTCTCACTTGAAAGAGAAAACTCCAAAGGCAAGTCATTTCAAGTTTAAGGGCTCACAGTCCAAAAATGTGAAAAAAGGGGTGGGAAGAGAAAAAGTACTCCATGGTGACTGCAAAGATTTAATTTCAAAGCTAAGGTTGACAAGGAACTGATAAACTTGGACTTCTTAAAATGCAACCCTGGCATTACCCTGCAAGGCACGTTTCCAAATTTCTGTGATTCACTGTGAGCCCTGTTGCCATGTGCTTGGTAGTGAGTTTGAAGCAGGTTGAAAACAACAATGATACACACTTTCTGGTAAAATATATACTACCAAATAGCTTTTAGGAGTGAGAAATTATATATGGTGTATTTGCTTGTGTGTATATATTCCCAGTGAGACAAAGCAGGGTAAAACATGTGCTTAAAAGGAGCATATTTATTTTTTCTTTAAGTGTTTCCAAGCTCGCGTGTAAGAGTGTGAGTATATGTGCTTGCATTCAGGGCGTAAGAGACCAGAAGAGCACATCAGATCCCTAGCACTTCACCAACTTCACAGGTGGTTGTGAACGTCAGAGGTGGGCCCTCTGCAAACATAGGATTCACTCTTAAAATGCTGAGCCGTTTCTCCTGTCCCAAAGCTTTTGTTCCTAGTCTGTGGTAAAAAGCTCAGCTTTACCACTTCTTCTCTTTACTCCATAATTGGCTAGCGATGTGCATCTGGGTCTGGTTCTGAGGCTCTTGAAGAACGGGCTTGAAATTATGACCTTATATTTCTTTTAAAGTGCTAAAATAGTTAAGACACACGCACGCACACATGCATGAGTAAGCATAATGACATGACTGTATCTAAGTGCATGAATATCTTAGTGGGACTCCTATAGTTTACAACTGGAATCCTCACCTTATCGGCCATTGTTCTACAAGGTTAAAATTTTGCTTTTGCTTCACAGTTTGACTCTGTATTACAAAGATGCACAACAACTCTTATCAGAAAGTGCATCTTCTGTAAATCAAGCACTGCCTTTGTTCTTCTATATCCAACCGATCTTATTTCTTTTTTCCCACGAATCTCATAGCATATCTATATCTATATCTATCTATCATATAGATATCTTTCATGCATGTTCTGGAACTACCTCTGTAGACAAGTCTGGCTTTCGATCTCATAGAGATCCACCTGTCTCTGCCTCCCGAGTCCTGGGTCTAAAGGTGTGCGCCACCACCATCTGACTCGCACAAAACGTATTGATAACAATCATGAGCTGTTTAAGCCACATATGTGGGCACAAAAGAAGCACCAATCACAGTTAATATTGACCTTGCTAATTTGGAAGGTCAAATAGCTGCAGCCTTTGTCCAATATGTTTTGAGTTATTATTATTATTATTATTTCATTTATTGGGCCCATTGAAATTCTGTACTTGAATTGAGAGGGTAAAGCTAAGATGTATTCTATTTTCTGTCAGAAAATTGAACATTTGTATTTAAGCTTATTAAAAACTCAGGATCTTGATAGCAGAAGTTGGACTTGTGGTTTAGCCACAGTACCTGTAGAAAACAATTAGTTTTACTTTATTCTTCTATGAAACAAGCACACTTACTTACTACATGTTTCCTCATCTAGGTGCTTAAGAATAAAATGAACTCATGCATGTGATGGCCACATCCTATAGCAAAAATCAAACATATAATGGAGAGATGTGCATTTAACTTTTATCATAAGATGCCTAAGCTTTGACAGGCTCCTTTGCTTCTCTGGTCCTCAGTTTCTCTTCAGTGACAAGGATGTAAAAGCTCAGGGGCAAATTTGTAATAGAAAGTTGTGTGAAACTTCTTTAACAGTACGGTGGTTTACACACTGGTTAGTCATAATTGCTTATTAGTTATGTCACTGGAATGTCAATTAAGTTCGTATCGCACAACACACACACACACACACACACACACACACACACACACACACACACACACACACATTAAAATATCCAGAGAAAACAACATGCTCTAGAGATTACTGATATTATCCACTTAGTGAAAACATGTTGGTTATATATTATTGGTGAACAAAAAGCACAAATAAGCATATGCAGACTGTTTTTCAAAAAGATAAGGTGGAAGGTGGGGGGTAAAAGGAGGGGAGGGAGAGAGAACTGGGATTGGTATATAAAATGGAAAAAGATTGTCTTAAAAAACTAAATTAAAAAAGATGACTTTGAGAAAAGTTTCATAAACTCTATCTAACAAGTATCATGGGATTATGAGTGAAATTTTGAATCATTGGCATACCAGCATTTTCTAAAACATTCTCAAAATGTCTCATTAGAAAACCAAGATAAAATATTGGAATATAAAAGAGATGGGGTAGAGACACTGACCTCCCTCCGCTGAACAGATGACGACAATCTGGCTGAAGGGGCCATCGCCTTTATTATTATAAACACCAACTTTGACTTCAAAGGGTGTGAGAGGGGGTACACTTTCATCTCGGTAAATGAACTTTGAAGCCTCAGAAGATGTCACCATCTTCTCCTTCCAGCCACGAGTTCCATTGGGTCTGAACGCCACTATGTAGCCGAAACCTTCCCCATTTTGAAATTCTTCTGATACTGGCTAAAGAAGGATAATACAGTTAATGATCAGCAAAACAACTGGCTGAGAAACACTTCCTCTTAGTGCTTGGCATTGCAAAAGCTGCGGTGAATTACAGAAAAGAGTCTCGGAACTTTTTAATATGCTGTAAACTAAGATTGCATATGTGCTTTGGCTTTAATGGTACAAGATAAAAAATGAAATGATATCTGTTGGTATTTGAGGAAATACACCAGAGTTTTTGAGAGAAGTTTCATAAACTATATCTAACTATATCAAGAGAAAACTCTTGAGGTGGAACAAATTTACTCCAATTAGTCATGTATATAAGCTGATGATCCTTGAACTCTATTGTAGAATTGAGTCTGTTAGGGAAAATTGCAATGCTGTGGGCTTGCAAGTCTCTCCTCCTTAGATAGTGCTCTGCAGATCTCAGTAGATCAAATTAAAGAGACATCAACTCACAACCTATCTTCCAGGGTCCTTTCCTTTTGTGTCTGTGTTTGCCCGAAAGCAAACAAATAAGCAAATCCACTCTGAACTGTTACATATACTTTAAAACTTCTTGTGCTATATATGGCCTACATATAAATTTATTTAAAAATTTCAACTGTGGATTATAGATAGAAGTAACTGTATTGATAAGGCGAGGCCGGGAAGCCACCAGTTACTTAACTAACAGAGCATATGATACCTTGTAGATATCCAATAATTTTGTGTTAAATTTTAAAGCTTAAATCCTGATTTAAAGATAAACTATGTACTGAGTAGAGGAAGAGAAAAAACCTATTAAGTCAAGGTCATAGGGGAGTCTCAATGGGGTCAGATATAAGGAAATAAATAGCTTTGCAGAAATATTAACACAAGGCATAAAAATTTATTTATGAAAGGAATGAACAGAAGAATATGAGAGACAATGCATTGGTGAAAGCTTCCTGCTAGTCCACATAATTTTCACTGCTCTCTAAGATGGTTTCATTTCTTTAGCAAACATGACCAAATTTTGTGGTTAGCTGTGTAGCTACATTTTGCAATGATGTTATCTCATAGCAAAATAAAAATAAAAATAGACTACATGGTAAAGTGTATTCTTCTCACTTATTCATTCTCATTCTTTTTATTATCAAAAGGTATTTGGAGATTGTATGATGAGCTCTGCAAACACAAGAATTCTGGTCCCAATTCTGCTTGTCAGAGACGGTGCCAGAGCTTTGCCCCAGTTTCAGCCTGCAGAACTAGGAACTCTCCCCTCATAGTAGGATTGTATTATGAGTTGGAATAAACCAGGGACCATGTACTCAGTGTATTGGTGTTCTTTCTCTCATGGATTCAGTTTCCAAAGAAGTTAAGATGACTACTTGCTTAGAAAGGAATTAACACTGCATTAGTAATCTACGTTTCCAGAGTAATTTACGAGGGGCTGCTTGAATGAGTCAAGCTTCGTTCAGAGAAAGCCTTTGTGAATGCAAGCATAGCAAGGACTTAGCAAAGGTTGTCTGGGACCTGGGGCGAGGATGACAAGGACTTACCTAGATCTCACTCATTGAATATCAAACCCTCAGACTGTTTCTTCATTCAGACAGAAACACCCAGCCGTGTACCAGAGCAGAGTCTCTGGGCAGAGCCCTACCTAGTTTCTGAGTGTCCTGATACTGATGAAAGGGATTATTTTACCTCCCAGGCGATCACCAGTTCATGCCTTCTTCCACTTCTTCCACTTACATTGCTGGGCGCTGTCTTTGGAACTGTGAATAAAAATGCATGGAGGCTGAAGAGAATAAATACACGTGTGATTTTCCTAGCCCATTATCATCCTACTTAGATTTTGTAGACCATTAAAATGAAACAGAGTTGCTTTCCATTAGAATCTTCACATTAAATACTAAGACAAAATATGTTATAGATACCTTGCTATCTGAGACAATTTGATCACATATATGTATATATGCATATATACTGTATTGATTATATATACATTACATATGTACCGATTATATATGCACATATATGTATATTGATTATATATTATGTAATATATATTTATAATTAAATCATAATTAACACCAAAGATAGGGTATTTACTAAAGTTGGGTAAATTTCACACTTTCAATGGCCCTCTCTTCTCTTTGCTACTGTTATATTTCTTTTTATCACCCTGGGGTCTGCAAAAGTTCTGGAAAAATCCACAGGTCCACACCTGCACTATCTCAGGATCTATACTTTAAGGAAAACATACTCATAATGCTACTGTGTGAGAGTCTATTTAAATGAGTAAGCACTCTAATGCGTATATATTCCACACTTTCTTTATCCATTCTTCCGTTGAGGGGCATCTAGGTTGTTTCCAGGTTCTGCCTATTACAAATAATGCTGCTATGAACATAGTTGAACAAATGCTTTTGTAGTATGATAGGGTTTCTCTTGGGAATATTCCCAGGAGTGGTATTGCTGGATCCTGAGGTAGGTTGATGCTGAATTTCCTGAAAAACCACCACACTGATTTCCAAAGTGGTTGTACAAGTTTGCATTCCCACCAGCAATGGATGAGTGTTTCCCTTACTCCACATCATGAATATAGTATGTACTCACTCACTCCTTAGTGGATTCTAGCCATAAATAAAAGACATTGAGCCTATAATTCATGATTCTAGAGAAGCTAAAAAGGAAGGTGAACCCAAAGAAAAACATGTAGTTATCCTCCTGGATATTGGAAATAGACAAGATTGCCAGGCAAAAATTGAGAGCTTGGGAGTGGGGGTAAGGGGAGATGAGGAGAGAGAAGTGAGGAAGTGAGAAGGGGCGGATGGGGAGAGCTTGGGGGAATGGAATGGTTGGGTTGGAGAAAGATGGATATGGGAGCAGGGAAGTATATATCTTAATTAAGGGAGCCATTTTAGGGTTGGCAAAAGACTTGACTCTAGAGGGGTTCCCAGATGTCCAAGGAGATGTCCCCAGCTTGTTCCTTGAGCAGCAGAGGAAAGGGCACCTGAACTGGCCCTATCCTATAGCCACACTGATGAATATCTTGCATATCACCATAGAACCCTCATCTGGCGATGGATGGAGATAGAGACAGAGACCCACATTGGAGCACTGGACTGAGCTCCCAAGGTCCATCTGAGGAGCAGAAGGAGAGAGAACATGAGCAAGGAAGTCAGGACCGCGAGGGGTGCGCCCACCCACTGTGACGGTGGGGCTGATCGAATGGGAACTCACCAAAGCCAGTTGGACTGGGACTGATGGACTCTCTGAACGTGGCTGACAAGGAGGGCTGACTGAGAAGCCAAGGACAACAACACTGGATTTTGGTTCTACTGCATGTACTGGCTTTGTGGGAGCCTAGTCTGTTTGGATGTTCACCTTCCTAGACCTGGATGGAGGGGGGAGGACCTTAGACTTCCCACAGGGCAGGGAACCCTGACTGCTCTTTGGAATGGAAAGGAGGGGGAGGGGGTGTAGGGGGAGCAGGGAATGCGAGGAGGGGAGTAGGTGAAAATTTTTAATAATAATAATAATAATAATAATAATAAATAAATGAGTAAGCATTAAAAACAACTGTCAAAAATCAATCTTTCTTTCCCTGCACATACAGAGTCACTGAGTGCAAGTTTTACAAATGAATAACGATTAAAAGAATAAATGTGTCAGAAGAACAAATTTCGCCTTCATTGCACCAAGCCACACATCTGCAGCTGAATGGAATATTTTCCAAATGAAGTGTTGTTAACAGGAGAAAAACTAATAAAAGAAACCATTTTCCATAGTCTGTGCCCGTCTTCATAATTTTGCACTCCAACCTTGCCTTTGTATCCTAGCATATATTTAAGACAATATTGATATATTGATACACACATGAGCAATGAACTCAAATTACCTGTGGGATGAAAGGCCATTAATTGTTAGCATATATTTTATAGGTAACATTTTATATACTATGAGAAACCTTAGACAGAATTTTTTATAGTATGAGAAAGAAAAATAAGAAGAATGCTTCTTGGATGAGGGAAGTGGGAAAGAAAAATCTGTGTATATAATAATGATGTACATTAAATCATTAATTGTTGTTCAATCGGATTCCAGTTTGAATGCCATTGGTCTCTCTTCCCCTTGGATGTAATTCTCCTGTTCAAGTGCTTGCAAGAGTTACTAGTACCAAGCTGTATGAGGTGCAGTACACACTGCAGTAGCGGTCCATTGTTTCCTTCCACAGCCCCATGCATTCTACAGGTTATTCCTCTATGGAGTTCAGTACCGTGGGTTCCCTCAGAAGTATCTGGAGTTAGATAGTTGTTACCTTCATACAAAGAAACTACATAAGATTCAATTAAGAAAGAAAGACAATATTCTGAAATAGTCAGTATGTCCTAGTTAATATGAACAGGGAGGAAATCACTTATTAAATGAACTTTTAAAAGTGTTTATTGAATTTTTTTATTTGACAGTTTCATACACGTTTATAGTTCATTCTTATCACTATAATCTCAAGGACCCTTGTTTGTTGCCCACCCCTATTAACTCTTTTTATCCCTACAATTACCTTTCAAACATTGTTTTCACTTTCTGAGGTCCACTGAGTTTAGCCAGGATCATTTTTGTGAGCATAGATTTGGAATTATCTGTTGGAGAATAGTGGACTCTTTAGTGGGCACACAGGTCATAGGAAATCATAGTTATTGCTGCTGTAACAGGGAGACATACCCATATGCCTTGGCACTTTTCCTACGAAGACTTCAGTGAAACTGAATATGGCTTTAAGTGTGTTCATTTCCTGCCGATGATATAAGTGAGACTTACAAGAGGTTGCTGAAAAAATGCTCTCAGTCTGTGTTGTTACAGCTCTTGTCTGGTTAACAAGTTAGAGTTTTGGGGAAGAGGAGACTCAATTGAGAAAACGCCTCCATCAGAATAGCCTGCAGGCAAGCCTTTGGGGTATTATCTCAAATAATGACTGATATGAAGGAGGGGCAGCTCACTGTGGGTGGTGCCAACCCTGGAAGGTGGTACTGGACTGTATAAGAAAGCAGGCTGAACAAGCCATGGGGAGAGAACCAGCAAACACTATTTTTCCACGACTTCTCTTTCAGTTTCTGACTTCCATTCAGGATGAACTGCGAGTACAAATGGAGATAAGCCCTTTCCTCTCCAGGCTGCTTTTGGTTATAGTGTTTTATCACAGCAATAGAAAGTAAACTAAAGCAATGCCCAAATGGCCTGCTTCTGGCTAATTCAGGAATTTGAATATTATGATGATCGGTGAATATCTACTTAAAGTAATAGTAAGTGTGAAAGAGTTTGCCAATACTCGGCCATTGTGGCTTCCCTTAGGACATTTGCTTGATAAAAAAATGCACACATACATCTAATTACACATACATATAAGCACCCACTTTATATTTATCCCTGTCAACACGTTTCTGAGTAACACTGTCCTTAAAATATGTTTAAGGCTAAGTGCTTCTTCTACATCATCGATTTAAGTTTATATCTGGAACTTAGATTTTTGAATTCACTTCTTTGAAGAGAAAATTACTAAGAGTTCATATTTCTGAAAAAAAGTCTGGGCATGGGAAGAACCGTTTCTGTTTTGTTCCACTCTTAAAATAATGGGATGCTCAGAGTCTCTGGGTGGGAGTTATGGAAGGAGCTATGAGCTCCAATGTGCGCCTCTCCAGAAACCCACCAGAATCTAAGCTTTAGAAGAGGTTAAGAGCACTACTCTTTCAGAGGCCACGAGTTCAATTCCCAGCAACCCCACGATGACTCACAACCATCTACAATGAGATCTGGTGCCCTCTTCTGGCACGCAGGCACACTGGCATGCAGTCAGAACACTGTATATATAGTAAATAAATAAATCATAAAAAAAGAATTGAACATAAAGAACAATAGAGTTGGAGTCCTGGGAGTCTGGAAGGATCACTGCACAGGACATTCATGGTTCTCATTTTAGAAAATATATTTAAGTTTTTCATAAATTTTAAATTTCTGAGTAAAAATGTGCTAAGCATGTAACTAGTAATGGGGCTAGAGAAATGGCTTGGTTCCCACATGATGCCTCCCAGCCACTGTAAGTTCATGTCCAGGGGGTCTGGCACCCTCTTCTGGCCTCCACATACATTAGGCACAAAAGTGGTGCACAGACATGTGCATAAAATAAAACACACATAAAAGAATTAAAGAGTGACTAATAAATATTTGAGGTTTCCAAAGACTGTGAAAACAGAATAAAACTTTTTCTAAATTAACACAATGCTGCAAGAGTAATTTTCAGTTAAGTTACTGTTTGGTAAGATACGCTTTGAAATTGAACTGTTCAATATGACATTTGAGACAAGTTAACCTGCAGTCAAAGAGTAAATGCAAAGGGCTAAGATCTTTTTTTCCTTGCTCTACCATCATTTCAATGAAGCTTACACAATACCAAAAGTGGCCTTTGACTGCTAGTGTTTCAATAATGCATGTGCATGGATTTTGAAAGCTTGTTAGATGTATGGGATCAGCTGATAGCAGTCACAGGTCTTGAGAGCTGCAACCAAGGCCCATGCTTTGCTGTTGCGATCTAACGCTGCACCCTCTAATTTTGCTTGGCTTACATTTCTTAATTACATGCAGATATGGTAGCTGGCATGCTCATGCATTTCCTTTTCAGTTTGGTGACACACAGTCATTATCTCTGCCACACTGCAGTGGAGCTGGCTGATTTTAATTATAACTCTTTTGTTTATAATACATTATGAAATAATAT